GGGGGTGTACTCCTCGGAACTCTGGTGCCCATGGCCTTCCTGTTGGGACTTCGGCAGGCCTGTGGAGATTCCTGCCGGATCCGGGTGGTGGACTGCTCGGCCTGTTGCCTGACCCTGGCGGCGGCGATCGGCCGGACCTTGGTCCTTGGACATGGGGCGTGTGGTGGACTTACTGGCAGCACGGGCCTTCTGTGCTCTTGGACCTCGGTGGCGCTGATGGACTTTCGTGGAGCGTCCGGAGCCCGCTCCTTGAGGGGGGGGGACTGTTAGGATCCAGAGCGCCTCCAGGTGGCGCTGGAGCTGAGCCCTGCAGTTCCTGGGCTCACCTGCAGGATTCTCCAGGCAGCCAGGGGCTGCTAGGTGCCAGACCACCACTGGGTGGTGCTGGTACCTGCAGCTCCAGTGCTCACCTGTGGGTGTCTCCCAGCTGCCAGGAATCAGCCCATTAGGTAATACTCCTGGGAGAGTATTTAAACCCTCCCTGCAGTCTGGACCTTGGCTCAGGATGTCGTTGCTTTCCCCTGTTGTCTGAGTCCTCTGGCCTGAACCCTGAGACCCTGATATTTGCATGCTATTTTAGTACCCTGTTTCCTGTGTTACCCGGTTTCCTGTGTTACATTTTTGGTTTATGCCTGTTGTGGATTGTTTTAGTTAGCTTGCTAGGTTAAAATATTTATATATACCATACTTACCTGGTCCGTGTGGTCACATGTGTTTGGTCTGCCTGTAAGGGTACCTGTGCAGGTGTGGGGTCACCTGCGCTGGGATCCCCTGACAAAGTGTTTTTTTCCATTGATGCAGTACCCTAATCCCCATATCTTTTTTATGGCCAATAACTTGCATATAAGGCTTCAAAATAGAGACGTTTGATTTTCCAAATTCTGGTCTCCTAGACTTTCATTGAGTCCGAAGTTTGAGTTAGAACTTTTTCCATGTTCGAAAGTTCAAATTCGAACCGAACTCTGGTGTGTTCGGCCCATCACTACTCTAGACTTTGTGAGGCCTTAGGGGAAATGCATACACCCATAATGGAAAAAATGCAGACAATATTCAAAAATTAACTGTATAAATTACATCTTTTAATAATAACCACCAGAAAGTGTCAGGGCAATGATAAGTATTACCCGCCTCCCGGCCTGCCATTGTACTAAAACGGCCGGCCCGGAGCTTCCTGGATATAACAGGCCGTGTATATACGGCCTGTTAGCCCCGCCCACTCGTGCACGGCACGCGCGAGCCGGAAATGACAGAGCGGGAAACGACCAGCTATAGAGCCGGCAGATCGCTTGTATAAGCTGCCGGTCTGTATGTGTGTGTGTATCCCCGTCCGCGGCCCCCTTCCCGCTGTCCACACTGGTCCCGTGCTCCGCTGTGCCCGGTGCGAGCCCGGGACCAGCATAGTGCCTCTGTAACAGGCGATCAGAGGGAGATCGGTACACAATCTCCCTCCGGTCCCCTCTCCGGTGTCAGAATCTGGAAGTGGTGTATATTACAAAACATTCTTGTGTCACTCTCCAGCTTTAGACACTGGAGAGAAGCTGATGAAGCAGATCTCTGCTTCATCAGCTTCTTTGGGGGGGTCCTAGGTGACATTAGGGGTCTTGGAGACCCCTGATATCTCCATAAAGAGGGCCTGTCACATCCTCTTTGCTATCACACGAGGGGACTTCTTAGCCCCCTATGTGATAGCAATAAAGTTAAGTGAAAAAACAATAGTAAAAAAATATTAAGGTTTTCCCCCAAAATTTTGAAGTTACACATGAAAAAGAATTAAAAAAAAGAGAATTTTTTTCTTAAAGTCCCCACCCATACATACACGCATGCAAACATGCGTCCAGTGTGCATATGTGCGAAAACGACGATTGCGCCCATTACGCTGCACATGTTATATCGCCACAAACTTTACAATGAGAGCACTAATTCTAGGGCCATCAATCACTGATAACGCTAAACTGATGAGCGGTAAAAGCTTTTAAAGCATCGCCTTTGGTCAATTTTGGGTATGGTAGTTTTTTTGCGATTTTCGTGGGATTTCGTGGGTGTGCGCAATTTTAAAGCTTGACATGTTTGATATCTATTTACCCAATGTGACCCCGTCTTTTATATTTTTTTTAAAATTGGGTAATAATCATTGTAAAATGCAAAATAAACTTTTTTTTTCAAAATTTTCAGTAATTTTTCATTAATATAGGTGGTGATTAAATACCACCAAAAGAAAGTTCTATTTGTCCCCAAAAAATTGTATAAAATTAATTTCAGTACAGCGTTGCATGACGGAATAAATGTCAGTCAAAGTACCGCAGCACTGAATACTGAAAAATGGCCTGGCCAGGAAGGGGGTGTAAACACCTGGTCAGCAAGTGGTTAAACAATTTTTAACATGGTTTCTTAATTTGGCCTCTGGTGACTCCAGCAATGTCAGGGCCTTCAATGCCCTAATAATACTATTATTCTGCATTGCTGAATGTAATGATGGCATTTGTAGTCCTGTATAGCTGATGGAATTCTACATTGCTTGTATGTATGATGGGATTTGTAGTCCTGTATAGCTGATGGTATTATGCTGCACTGCTGTATAATGTATTGCTGGGATTTGTAGTCCTCCATCACTGATGGTATTATTAATACCATCAGCAATAGAGGACTACAAATCCTATCAGTACATACTCGCAGAATAATACCATTACAGTAGTATAAAGGACTACAAACCCCATCAGTACATACAAGCAATGCAGAATAATACCATAAGCTACAGAGGACTACAAATCCCATCAGTACATACAAGCAATGCAGAATACCATCAGCTGGACCTCTACAAAGTGCCCTGCTCCTGCGGTGGACCTTACATAGTTAGTGGAAAGATCATGCTGTCTTCCAAAGAGCAAGGTAAGAATATGTGAAACTACTGTTAACCTTTTCTAGGAAGATAGTATTGACACACATCTATAGGAAGAACTAAAAACCCGCAGGCTGCTTGGTCTTGTAAGCAGGGCTGTCATCAGAAATTTTGGGGCCCCTTACACAGCTTTAGGTCTGGGCCCCCCAAACACACCATAGGCATGTCCACTGGCCGTTCCACCGAGTCCACTCACTGACCCTCCCATCGAGTTCATCCACTGGCTGTCCCACTGGGTGCTTCAGTGCACCCACTTTTATTTTAACACTCTTACAACTAATATATAAAATTGAAACTAACACTAACTGCACTCCCTTATCACTAACCGCACTCCCTTATCAATAACCACACTGTACTGACCAGTTCTAGAGGAACAACAAATCCAAGCAATAATACATTACACAGGCTGTTTAATGTATTATTGCTGGGATTTGTTGTTTCTCTATAGCTGCTGGTGTTCTGCAGTGTGCCGCTGTATAATACAGCGGCACACTGCAGAATACAACAGACCATATATATCTGTGGTCGTGGTATTCTGCATTGTGCATTGTATTGTGCATGGTATTCTGCTGCTGTTGCTGGGGCCCGGCCTCCCTCTGCTGGCAGACCGGCCTTGCAAGGACCCGCCGGAAGTGACATCATTGGAGAGCAGAACACCAGCAGACAGTGGCAGACCTAAGGAACAAAAGGGCCATGGTGCAAGATTTTTTTGGGGGCCCCCACCCCCTCTTACAATGCCTATACTGGCCACCTGACCACCAGAATACCTGCACTGGCTACCAGAAAGCCTGCACTGGCCACCTGTGAGCAGAAAAACAAGCTCAGTGCGCCCACTGATTCTGCATATGGTGACTTGTAAAATAATGTCATTATATATTACAATGTAATAATAATAGAAATAAAGTGCACAATAAATGCCATCCCAAAGCCATCTCCCCCTCTTTCCCCTCGCTCTTTGAAAAAGGAATTTCAGCTAAACCGGTTCCCTGATTCCAAAAAGGTTATGGGCCACTGCTATAGAGGACCACAACTCCCACCAATACTTTATACTGCAAGTACTTGTACCTTTTTTCTGTGATACACGACGTGCGGCTGTGGTAGCCGCTATCGTGTTCAGGAGGACGGGCGGAATCGCGGTGGGAAAACGTGCGATCCGCCCGGTGCAACTGGGGTGCCATTGAAAAATAATTGCACCTACTGTGCGATCAGTGCACATCCATACGGCTCCTTACCGTGTGGCAATACGCCCGAAATCGTACACAATTCCCGCACGGTACGGTGTCACATAGGTGTGCATCGGCCCTTATACAGCAATGCAGAATGGCTTTGGCTATAGAGGACTACAACTCCCAGCAATATTTTATACAGCATTTGCAAGTCTGCAATTGCTGTATAAAGTTCTGCTGGAAGTTGTAGTCCTCTATACCTGTTACCATTCTCCATTTCTGTATAAAGTATTGCTGGGAGTTGTAGTCCTCTATAGCTGATGCCATTCTACACTGCTGCAATGCAGAATAGCACCAGCTATAGAGAACTACAACTTCCAGCAATACATATATGCAAATCAATTCCATCAGTTACATAGGGTTACAAACAATTAAGGCAAATAGAATAAAGCACTTACCTCTTTTGCCTGTCCTCGTGGTGGGAACACATGCAGCAGGGAGAGGTAGTGGGTCTGTAATCAGGTGGCTGCTGCTCGTTCTTCCCGGCAGAGGCCCCAGACTGTAACTTCAGGCCGCTCTATCTCGTCCTTCCTCTCTCCTCACTTCCGGCCGCTCGTCGCACCACCATCTCCTGCCACTTTCTGGTTCCGGGAGCTGCTGGGGCCCCAAGCCTCATCTGCCGCCGCCGCGGTCCGGCCAGGCCGCCTCAACCTAGGCCCCTGTCACCTGAACTGCCGATACCCATGTGAGGGTCCCGGGCCCCCCAGGCTGCCCGTGCCCAATACATATGTATCCGCCGTACCCCCCTGATGGCGGCCCTGCTTGTAGGTAATAAAAGAATATGTAGCTGAGAGGATGTTACATATGTTCCTTAAAGAATAAACATTTCTGACAAGTGTTGAAGTGTTCAAGAGTGTTGAATATATATAATAACAAACCAGAAAGTCCTCCTACATCCATCTTCTTTAGGTTCTTGGCCTCCAGCACAATCACAGTGAGCTTGCCTGCTGTGGGCACATATCGCAAAGAGAAGCAGATATCTCCCAACTTCTCTTGCTGTGATAAAACAAAATAAATACGTTATAGGGTGATCATGTGAAAAGCTTAGGTTCAGTACTAAATGTTAACCACATTTAAAGCTAGAAATTTAGTTTTAAGGCTAATATAAGGAATGAAAAAACGTGTTATATTTATTTCCATAGTACTCACTGCTCTGCTAACTTTAATCTGCATGCAAACAAAAGTATACATCTTCAATTAACTACAATGGGAAAGTGTCTGACTACCTCACTGTTGAGTAAATGGGAGGGACAAGTTTCGAGTAGTGCTGAGCAAAATATTGAGGCCACAACAGAAATGTATAATAAAAAGTATCAAGTTTCACGCATATAGCCAGCCTTAAAATAATGGATAATGCAATACATAATAATGCAATATTATAGTAAATAACCATTAATAAATAAGGTTGAAAATTAACACTGACAATTTGTGAGAAACAAACTAAGTGCACCTCAAATAATGTATATAGTTTAGGAGTACTCCTAATGGCATAATCATCAGAAATAATCTGTGTGCAAAAAAACAAATTACAAATAAAGTTTAACATATTATTTTAAAAAAACTGTGAGAAGTGCACAGGAACAATATAGCTGCAGCACACTACCAGTTATGAGTGTGACTTGTTAAGGGACTTGTTCAGATGGCTTTAGCTTGTATAAGTAATTCTCATAAAAGAGCATTAACAAATGTCTCAGGAGTCCAAAACTGTATTTTATGAATCCACGTATATCACAAAGACAACAGAGATAATTCAACACATTTTGTGGCCCAAACAATCCCCCTTGATAAGGGCTAAGGTGAAACAAAAGTGTATAAGTGTTATGCAAATAAAATATTAGGAGAATCATAGTAAAAATTACAAAATATGTAAGCAAGAATTGGACTAAAACAGTAATACTTAAAAGATTGAGCAGAATAGTTTGCATAGGGGGTTGTATATAAAACTCAGGGCCAGATTAAGAGCATCATGGGCCTGGTGCAGAGGATGTTCTTAAGACGGTCTCGGCGGCGGCGATCACATCTCTCTGCGCTCCCTCTCTCTCTACTCCCGTTCGCTGCAGCTTCAGAGCGGCCAGGAGGAGAGAAGAGAGAGAGCGCAGAGAGGTGTGATCAGCGCCGGTATGAAGACCTGAGCAGAGCAGTGGCAGGGATCCTTTTGATGAGGTGAGACCCGCACGCCACCCCGACCTCCCCCTGCCAGGAAGTTCTCGTCTGCAATCCCCCCTCTACCCCCCCCCAGCTACCTTTTCTCTTCTTCCTCGCAGGAGACAGTGGGGGGAGAGCTGCACTCGCAGCCCTTCCTCTCAGCTGTCACAGGAGTTCTGGCACAGTGTTGTGCTAGAACTCCTGTATTGGAGGTAACAGGGTCAATAAAGAGAACCTGTCACCTCCATATGCTATCACACAGGGGATTGTTAGCTCCTGTGTGATAGCAATAAAGTTAAGTGGAAAAAAATGTAATTAAAAAAATTTGATAAAACATTAGAAAATAAATAAAAATTATGAAAAAATAAGTAAAACATAATAATAAAACAAGTAATTAAATTACAAGATTAAAAAACAAGTAATAAGAAAAAAATAACAAAAATGCACCTTCGCCTGTGTAGGAAAAAATCCTTGCACCGGCCCTGTTTGAGACTTCGCCCCATTAACCTTATAATAAGATACCGATCCGAATGAAGAAAGCACTTTCATAGCAGCGACTACCGAAGAGGCTGGTGAGGTTAATGTAAGTTCAATGTCATCTGTGAATAAACCCATTTTGTGTTCCACATTGGCAATTGAAATACCTTGTATAGCAGGGTTCTGTCTAATAGCAACAGCTAGCGGCTCTATAAGTAAAGAGAAGATAATGGGCGACAGGGGGCACCCCTGTCGTGTGCCATTCCAGATCCCAAAAGTTTGAGACAGCATCCCTGATGAGAGCACCTTAGCGGTTGGATTAGAGTAGAGTGCTAGTATAGCAGATAATATAGATCCCTCCAGCCCAAATCTCTGTAGTGTAAGGGCCAGATACTCCCAATGGATCCTATCGAACTCCTTCTCCGCATCCAACACTAGGAGCAGAGAAGGCGCTCGAGAGTTTTTAGCATAAACAATCAGATCAATCATCCTGCGACTACCATCTGGTGCCTGCCTCCCTGCCCCAAATCCCACTTGGTCTGGATGGATAATAGAGGGTGTTAATGATGGTAGACCGGTAGCTAATAATTTTGCATATATCTTGATATCCGAATTGAGGAGAGATATGGGTCTGAAGTTTTGTGGATGGGTGGTTTCCTTCCCAGGCTTTGGCAAGGCCACTATAATAGCATCTCTGAGGGGAAGGAACCGGAGGATACGGCCTCATTGTACAGAGGGAGCAAATACGGGGACACTTAATTAACAAAGCACTTATAATATTCATTGGAGAAACCGTCAGCTCCGGGAGATTTATGGGCAGGGAAAGATTTAATCACTTTAGTAATTTCTGCTATGGTGATCGGAGCAGACAGGGGAGCCCTGAGGTTACATCCTGGACATTGTAACAATGAGAAGAAAAAGAAAAAAAAAACCACAAAGGAGAATCAAACTATAAATAACAGTACAGGAAAAAAAAACGAACAGTAATGCCAACGAGCGTTACTTTCAACATTTGAATTTGAAGAACAGAGACCATAGGGCCTTAGAGGCAGCCATGTGAGCTGCACCTTTAAGTGTGGGGCTAGGAGAGCCATAGGTTAACTCAAGGCATAGTAGGTGAGTAACCAAGCATACGGAGCACAGAGGACAAATGAAGAAGGACCCGCCTCCGGGGTCAATCAATCCACATAGTCCAGGATTAGGCTCCACGATTCCAGGAAGGAGATTCCCGAAGTGACGTCAGAGATCACATGAGATATCCCCTCATGTGTAACAAGAAGCTTGGTGGGAAATCCCCAACGATAGCTCACCCTGTTATTTCTGAGGGATTTGGTAATAGGCAGGAGCCTTTTGCGGGCCAAGATCGTGGGCGTCCACTAAATCATTGCAAGCCTCCGCGTATTTCCCCATCTTATCCTCAATATGGCTGACCCTGTCCCCCAGTGCGTTAATATCCCCCTTCAGCTGGTGAAGAGCTGAAAGCATTTCTTTATGTAGTGAGCTCTTGAGAGAGACAAGCATGTCCTTCATTGTGGTGTCCAACAGGGGGCGATCAACAGTGGGATAGTCCTCTATGGCCACCTCCAGCTCTCTAACCCCCTCATCCACCTCCTCATGCCGTACCTGTGGACCTCCTGAGTCCCGTGTGGGCTTGGATTTGGCCAGGCTGGCGGACGGAGAGGATCCTGTCAGGAGAATCAGCTGCGTGCTGCATCTGCTCGTTCCGTTCCCCAGAGACACGTAAGAAGGACGAGGGGAGGACGAGGCACTCGACGAGCTGGCGCCATCTTGGATCCGCGGCGAGCCCACCGAGCGGAAAAACTCGGTGAGTTTGTGGGGACCCCGCTTAGATTTATTTTCCCCCCACCATGCTCGGGGTTCCTTGGGGTCGAAGTCAGGCAGGGGGAGTAATTGCAGGGTCCTCTGTGCGTAGGATCTTGCCTTGGGGAAACGGTTGTGCCGGAGCTCTACTCCTCTGCGGCCATCCACCGCGGATGCTGGAAAACACCTCCCTGACCTCTGGATTTTAAAAGCCCTGCTGGTCCCACTCTGTATTTGGTCATTACAGCTGAAGATTTGGGTGGCTGACATCCTGCAAAAAGCAGCAAGTAAAATAGCAGAGCTGAAGGGGTTAACACAGCCTCTGCTGCCTAGGAGGGAAATTGCCTGACCGTTCGTCCCTCTGTTTAGGGAAAAAAAACCTTTAACCCTGCTGCTTTCCACAGCAAGGCTAAATGTAAAGAAGAAAACCACCTGCCCGATGCCCGGAACTGCATGTCCCAGGCGTCCGGCGAAACTAATTGCACACCTCTGGAGCCCCCCCTGCTGACTTGATGGGGCCCCCTACTGGCCACGGGCCTTCGGGCGGTGCTCGACTGCCCGAATGATCAGTCCGCCCCTGAGCCAGACTGACTACAGCTCTGGCAATCAATAACAGGGTTATTCACAAAAGGGTGAAGAGTTTGGAGAAGGCAGGAGAGGTTAACAGTCTAGGCCAAAATAGCTGAACTGGAAACATTCTCCAATTCAGCTCACTTTCCAGTACAGTTATGGCCAAGATTTCCCCCCCAACGGTCTCTAATGTTGCAGCAGCGTGCTGGACTCTGGACTTACCTGAGACACTGCAGAACACACCTTAGATCCTGCACAGCCCACCTGAGACTCTCTATGGTGGGTGGGCTCTGCAGGGCCCCAGGTAAGCTGGTCGTCAGGGTCCCTTTCCCTATACCTCCTCATAACTCTTCTTACCTGCTGCTGCTGGGGACCGGCCTCCTCCACCCCCTCACCTGTCACCTCTGCCATGCTGCCTCTCAGGCTGCCCAGACCCCTCACATGGGTACCGGCCATACCTCCCTGATGGCGGACATCCCAACTCTCCCGAACGCTTCGGGAGTCTGCCGCTATTAGATAGCGGCTCCCGGCCACCTGGGAGAGAAACATTTTCTCACAGAAAGGTTTATTCTGCTTGATCAAGCACAGTAAACCTTTCCCTGCTCTGTTTTTTTTTTTTTTCTGACATTGGAGCCGCCGGCAGTCAGAAAAAAAAATACAGCATAAGAATGAATAGCTAGATTGCTATTAACTATTTCACTTTGCAATAGCCAATAGTAAACTAGCTGTTGCACCCGCCCACTGCTGCTGTCCTCTTCTAGTGAATGACAGCAGCAAAGGGCGGGTGCAATAGCTAGTTTGCTATTGGATATTGCAAAGTGAAATAGCCAATAGCAATCTTCAGGTTGGGATCCCTGTGATGGTGGTGTTCTATCAAAGTTTGTGACTGTTAGAATGTGTGACCGGTCACGTGGTCACACATTTTAACGCGAACAGTCACACATTCTAACTTAGTCACAAACTTTGATAGAACAGAGTATGTA